GGCTTCCAGACGCTCCAAACACTATACAATTCAGGAGGGCGGTGGAGCGGAGGTGGAACAGGGGCGGGACGGAGGGCCAGGTTCACGTGGAAGTGGAGGGAACGGGGACTAAGGCAGAGCTGGCAGAGCAGGGCACCAAGGCGGAACAGAAAACCAGGGTGGCGCCGGCAGTACAGGTGGAGCTGAGGACCACCACAGCAGAGCAGACGGGACTGAAGATCCCAACGGCGGAGCAGAAGACCACCAGAGCAGGACAGAAGACCTCCACGGCGGAACAGACGGAGCAGAAGACCACCAGACCGGAGCAGATAACCACCAGACCGGAGCAAATGGAGCAGAAGACCACCAGGGTGTAGCAGACGGAGCAGATGACCACCAGACCGGAGCAGACAGAGCAGAAGACCACCAGATCGAAGAAGACGAAGCAGAAGACCACCAGACCGGAGCAGATGGAGCATAAGACCACCAGACCAGAGCAGAAGGCCAGCAGAGCATAGCCGAAGACCACCACAGCAGAGCAGACAGAGCTTTGGCCCACCAAAGCATGTCGGCAGACCACCTCGGCGGACCAGAGTGATCTGGAACCCATGGCAGGGACTGAGACCTAGGGAAAGCAGAGACAGACAACACTAATACATTAAATAATACAGACAACACTAATACAGGAAATACATTGGACTTATTTACAATGGCCTTGGGAATCACTGATAGGGCTAAAAGTTCAGTGGTGGTCTCCTTGAGAGTGACTGGATAGACAGACAGTTCAATATTAAATGCATTGGTTGGAATAGGACTGGCAGATAGCTCAAAATCAAGGGCAATGACAGGCTGAAGCAGACAGTTCAGTGACAGAAACTGGCAAGACAGTTCAAAATCAGACTCATTGAGGGAAACTGGACTGACAGGTAGTTCACAAACAGATTCATGGGTTGATATGGGATAGACTGACAGTTCAAAATTGGATGTATTAACTGAAACTGGACTGGTAGATATTTCACACTCAGATCCATTAATTGAAACTGGACAGACAGATGGTTCAAACTCAGACTCATTGACTGTAATCGGACAGACAGAAAGATCATCAGACATAATACTCGAAATAGGGCAGACAGATAGGTCAAAATCAATAGCATTGATAGGAACTAGACAGGCAGACACTTCACACTCAGACTCATTAATTGAAACTTGACAAACAGGTAGTTCACTTGTGGTCTCTCTGGCAATGGCAGGGTTAGCAGCTCAATCAGAAAGTTTATTTAAGGCTTTCGTAGCCGTGACAGGCAGGGTTGAGAGTTCCCGAACTGCCCTCATGGACGGGTCGAGACAAGACACAAGTTCATTGATGACCTCCATAGCCGATACAGGACAGGCAGAGAGTTCACAGACGGCCTCTATAGCCATAACAGGACTGGCAGAGAGTTCACAGACGGCCTCCATAGCTGTTACAGGACTGGCAAAGTGATCACAGACGGCCTCCATAGCCGTTACAGGACTGTCAGAGAGTTCACAGACGGCCTCCTTGGCCGAGACTGGACAGGACGAGAGTTCATAAGTGGATACCACTGACACCTCTGGAGGTTCCGCTGTGGATGCCGCCACCTCTGGAGGTTCTACAGCTGTACCATCAGAAAACAGGGAGAGTTCATTAGTATCCTTCTTAACAAGACAGGTACAGAGTTCAACAATGGTTCCTTCGACCGAGACATGACAGGCTGAAAGTGCATTGCTGGGCGCTACCACCGCACAAGGAGCTGAAGCGAGCGCCGCCGCCTCGGGAGGTTCTGCCGCCTCAGCCGCCACCTCTGGAGGACCTGGAGCGAGCACCGCCATCTCTGGAAGTTCTGTGGTAGTGTATGCAGCCCAAACACACCAAAAAGCGATTCCCATCATGGGAAGCGCTTCAGACAGGGGAAGCAGTTCAGGAACAGGAGGGCTAGAATGAGTGGGTTTTGGAATACCAGCTGCGCCTGCTGAACACCAGTGGTGGATCCAATTCTGACGAACTGACCTCGGAGATCTGGGTGCAACAGACAGGAAGTGGCCAGACTCTGGACGATCAGCTTCGACGTGACGTGACTCTGGACGAACAGCTGAGACGTGACTTGGCTCTGGAAGATCAGCTGAAACGTGACGAGACTCTGGGAGATCAGTTGAGATGTGATGAGACTCTGGGAGATCAACTGTGACTTGACTTAACTCATGAAGATCAGCCGTGACTTGACTTGACTCATGAAAGACAGCAGTAGCATGACACGGCTTTGTTGTCGATGCCATTTTGTGAGCGCGCTCCGGTGCGGCCGCAATTTCACGAGTGGATTGAATCACCGGAGTAGCGATCAATATACTTGAATGTCTCAGGGGTTTGCGGCTTACAGAGTTCAGCAGCCGCCATTACAGGCACAGACACGGTGTCACGTTCTTCCTCCGCGACACCCACAGTAAACAAAGAGTCAACAGTCAACAAAGCATTATCCACAAACTGAACGAGTGACGAATGCAGACCCTCGCGAATGAGCTTTGACTTTAACGGCTGATTAATGCCCTCGCAGAAAAAGTCTATTTGAATACCAGCTGCGCCTGCTGATCCTTCACGCTGGATGCCAGTCGGGAATTCTGACGAACTGACCTCTGAGATCTGGGTGCAACAGACAGGAAGTGGCCAGACTCTGGACGATCAGCTTCGACGTGACGTGATAGGACAAAATCTGGCAGATCAGAGAAGTAAGCGAGATCCAAATACTCTTGTACATAGTCCTCGAGTGATCGTGTTCCCTGCTCGAGGGCTAATAATAGTCTTGTAATGTCCATACCTGGCCAACGTCCATATGAAAAGCTGCTGGATCCTTGTACGGCCGAGTATTCTGTTACGGGCCGACAGAGATGAGAGGCATGTGGATCCATCTGCAAAGCTTTATTAAACGAAGACGTAGTCGTAAAACAGGCAAGGTTCTCAGTTGAGATGTGATGAGACTCTGGGAGATCAACTGTGACTTGACTTAACTCATGAAGATCAGCCGTGACTTGACTTGACTCATGAAAGACAGCAGTAGCATGACACGGCTTTGTTGTCGATGCCATTTTGTGAGCGCGCTCCGGTGCGGCCGCAATTTCACGAGTGGATTGAATCACCGGAGTAGCGATCAATATACTTGAATGTCTCAGGGGTTTGCGGCTTACAGAGTTCAGCAGCCGCCATTACAGGCACAGACACGGTGTCACGTTCTTCCTCCGCGACACCCACAGTGAACGCGGAACCGACAGACAACAGGGCATAATCCATAAACTGAACAAGTGACGAACACGGACCCTCGCGAATGCGTCCATATGAAAAGCTGCTGGATCCTTGTACGGCCGAGTATTCTGTTACGGGCCGACAGAGATGAGAGGCATGTGGATCCATCTGCAAAGCTTTATTAAACGAAGACGTAGTCGTAAAACAGGCAAGGTTCTGACAATGGCAAACAGGTATATTGAGGGCAAGACAAAGAGTAGTCCGGTAAACAGGCGTGGGTCAATCGACGGCGAACGTAATCCAAAGGGCGAGGCAAACGGGTAATCCACAGACAGGCAATAGACCAGGCGAGGTACAAACAAAGTCCGAGAAGGCAATACAAAAGGTAATCCAGGGCAGACAAGAGTTCCGTGGCAGGCAGCAAAACAGACAAAATGAGGAGACAGTCTGCGATACAAGACTCGGGTAAAAGATCAAGGCGAGACAAAGACTAAGACTAGGAACTAGGCAAACTCGGAATGGCTCCGTAACGTTGCTATCTCTAACGTAGCGATAAGCGCAAACAATACTTGGCAGTGAGGAAGAGGAAGTCCATGGCTTATGTAGGGTGTTTGATTGGTTGCAGCTGTGTGTGTAATCAGTGCAATGGATGATGGGAAATGTAGTCCGGGGTGACATGCAACAGTTTGTGTAGTGTGAGAGTCAATGTAACTGGAAGGCAACATCTGGTGGCGAGCAGACGGAAAACCACGGACCAGATTTGTGACAGTATTAAATATATTTTAATATTATTAATTTTAAATATTAATGTACTTCCCTTGTCTACATTCTCTTCACAGGTATATCTGTCAGCATCTCCACCTTCAGTCTGGTGGCCATTGCCATTGAAAGATACAGTGCCATTTGCAACCCGCTGAAGTCCAGGGCATGGCAGACCCGTTCTCATGCCTACAAGGTCATTGCTGCCACATGGGTACTATCTGTGGGTATCATGGTGCCCTATCCTGTGTTTAGTATACTGGTGCCATTCAACAAACCAAACAACATCATGGCTCACATGTGCAGGCTTGACTGGCCCATCAGCCAGGTGGAACAGACTTGGTGAGTTACTATTATTACATTACTGTTTTTCTTTTATACTATACTAAGGCCATGACACACTAAACCAATGACACTGACTGCGAAGACTACAGCCAAAGGCCAGCTAGAGTGTACAATCTATGTCTGCGTGAGAGGAAATAACTTACTATACCAGCAGGCAGTAGTAGTCTATATTTGTCATTCAAAAAGAGAAAGCTAAACTAGGATTGTTGATATACAAACTGTGAACAAAGTACTTGTGTACCATTTTGAATGGAATCATTCAAATGTTTATGAATCATGTCAATCACTTTCTTCATTCTAGACGGCCATGTCGTTATGAAAATATTTGATATAGTATTGGTTATGCTCAGGTAAAATGACATAAAATTAGAAGAGCTTCTGTGTATGTTCACTTGACTTTGTCATTTGCTCGCTTTGCTCGCTTTAGGTTTTCTTCTCATGCACTGGTTTGCTAAGATGAACAGCCAATCAGAGTGACCTTTCCCACTGACTGTCGATGGCATGGAACACATCACAAAAACTAAGCTGACAGACACTCAGTGATGGCCAGCTGCTGGGTTGGTGTGTCACAGCCTTTAGTTGCTTATTAAATGCTGTTTATTCCAGTCCTGCTCCTGGAGGGCTCCTTTCCTGCAGAATTTAGCTCCAACCTGCTCCAATACACCTGCTCAGAAGCTTCTAGTGCTCCTGAAGACCTTGATTAACTGGTTTCAGACATATTTAATTAAGGATGAAGCTAAATTCTGCAGGAAGGCATGGTGCGTTCAAGCCCTTCTGGGACGTTCGTATTTACAAGTTGGAAAGTTGCAATTACGCCATCAGATGCATTCAAATTACTTTGGTCAGAGCAAAATGGTGATGTACATTTTCTACAAAAAATACAGCAAGATTTTTTAACTCTACTTCTACAAAATTATTACAGTATGTGCATCAGTATTGTTCTTTTTATGTGCACTCAATTGATAAAGGTGCTGTAAACTGAATTGTTATGTATTATATAGTAATTGTGCAATACTGTAGTATTTAGTATTCACTAATTATCTAGTGTTATTCCAAAAAAATAAGAATTTCAATAAATTTACCATCAGTTAAGATTCTGCAACCATTGTGTCTGCCATGTTTTCTCACTAACATGCTCCAACTTGGAAACTAATGACTCAAAGAAAACAGTTTTTCCTACTCATAATTATGACTTTGTGGTGGTATTCAAGTGCATTCAACTTGCATAAGATATTTCAGTTGCATTTGCACTTTTGATAGTCACTATAAGTAACTTTGCAACTGCATGTCAGCTAACTATTACTGGTAGTAGACTGCAGGTACAGTAGCTCTGCAGGTGGAGGATTGGACACCTTTGTTTTATAGGAGGAGAGACACCCCCTCATTGGGGGTAATAATTATACATTGCATGATGAGTCATTTCTCAAAATGTTATCTATCTATCTATCTATCTATCTATCTATCTATTCAATTCAATTCAATTCAAAATTGCTTTATTTGTATTATGTATTTTACTATCTATCTATCTATCTATCTATCTATTCAATTCAATTCAATTCAAGTTTATTTGTATAGTGCTTTTTACTATCTATCTATCTATCTATCTATCATCTATAGTATGTGTATATGTGCAGTATATGTGCAATTCTATACAGAAAGGGTATGAGTGGAAATAAAAAAAATTTCAACAAGCAGTCCCTGCTGAGAATAAAATGGAGACAACCACAACCACTCTGTATAGCAAGGACAAACGGTAGGACCAATATAGAACTAACTAGCATAAACCAGAGCCTGGAAATTCATGCTGGTTTAAGCTGGTCTATAAGCAGGTGACCTACTGTCAGGACTCAGCTCTAAATAAGTTCAAAATGCATAACAAGAGCAATTAAATCTTGTTCATTAACTGTGACGCTGAGGTCCAAACCTCTATAGTATTCACGATCTCTCTCTGTTCAGACATTCATGTCAGATGCATCATATCAGTTAACAAGAGCTTCACACAAATCACAGCCTGCTGGTTCAAGTCGTGGTCAGAGACTGGCTCAGAGGGTGGTTGAGCTCCAGAGGGCTCGGATTTTTGACTTTCATACTGTAACTGTAGAAACAGGCAAAGTACCATTGATGCACTAGGAAATCTCAAAATTACAACTTAATAATTTTTTTTATTTATTTATTTTTACATTTTAGCAGGATTGATTGAATTACACATACTCCAGCTGCTTTTAGAGAGTGTATCACCTAATGCAGCATGGGGCATGCCACACAATTTGGAGTACCAAAAAAAACAAAAAACAAAAAAAACACAACCCACCACTTGAGAACCACTGGGTGTAAAGGATTGACCCACCACAAATAAAGATTCAGAGAAGCCAGGCCTACTACTATCCTATAGCAACACACAGGTATTAAATATCACACATTATAAATTTGTTTTGCATAAAAAGGTGCTTCCCAATATCACACCCTCATCTCTTACATCCACTTCCTGGTTGGATTAGTATTGCTTTTATTGCCTTTGTGCTGGAGCTCATAATGAATTTGAAAGCCACACAGGAAACAAGAGGAGAGAAAAGTGTCTTTGATATCAGATAAGTGCAGCATGGAATGAAGCTGTAAGCACAAAGCTGTCTGATAGAGGAAAAAGATCAGAAGAACGGACTACCGGAGATGCTGTCAGGGAACACTCCCACACTGTCATTTGAATATTATAAAATGACATCATATTACGGGGTAGAGCTTTTTAATTTAAAGTTTGACATTCAAGTATTGCTTTGTCCCATTGTATGCCAGAGCTGACCATCTGACCAAATAATTTTAAATACTGTGTGACTGAATCTAAAGCTTGTGTTGTTTGTTGCAGATCATTTGAATAGACTGCAAAAGCTAGTTAAACAATACTATAATGCGGTTGTACTGAATATTACTATGGCTGCAGGTTATCAAAACAATCAGATTTTTAGTAATATCCTGTAACTGTAATAATTGTGTATCATGCTGCTCATCCAGATAACTGAAACCATCTTCTATCTCAGTTAACAACTGTAGTGACAATAACCTCAGAGGAAGTATGAATATTACTGTATCAATTGTTACTACAGAACTATTAGATTAGAGAACCTCTGAATTTCAATTGAACCTTAGATCTTCTTCGATCAATACACCAAAACACACCAGGGCTGTGTTTCCCAAAAGTGCTGTAAGCCTATTAGAGAGCATTGTTGTCAATGGTTTCTACAATCTACTTAAGTTTACCATTCTTTTGGAAAAGGCAGCTTAGTACAGTATCACCTGTCATTTGTTCTAATTAGTCCACTACTGACGTGCAGTCCTTTGGTTTCATCATCTGTATACTCTACCTTTTCATTGAAAGATATTTTTTCTCTCTTTCTCTCTGTTAGGTATGTCTTGTTGCTCTTCATTCTGTTCTTCGTCCCAGGTGTGGTGATGATAATTGCCTACGGTCTCATATCCAGAGAACTTTACAGAGGGATTCAGTTTGAACTGGAGCAGAAGAAAGACTCTAGGGGTATGAACCATATTTTAAAGCCCTTACACCACAATTTCAATTAGCCCTCAAAGCAATGAGTTGCCTGAAGCATGCCTGTTTACTTTGATAAACTGGACTAAATTGGATTGGCATCTGGAAAACTTCAAAAAAATTGCACTAATTCTGAATTGTTTCTTTTTGGAAACATTTTGGAAACTTTTTTTTTGGCATGATGTAAGTGCTGCAAGTGAGGCTGCTGTTTTTTTGCCCATCCTTAAATGCTTGACACTCTTCTCTCTCCATTTGTGAGAGAGGCTGCTTGACCCATGTCTCCCATGGCGAAGACTGAATGCACTAAGGTCATGCTGAGTACCTCCCTGGGCGTTAAGGCTGTTTGTGCACTGATGTGCTGGATGTAAGTTCTCTAAGGGACAAGCTTTAGACAACTTCAGTGAGGTGGAAAGAGATACTTCGGAGGGCATTTCAGTTAAAGACCTCCACAGGTACCATTTATTAGAAGTATTCTTTAAAAAGTACTATTTGTACCTGTCTTGTGCCATTGCTGTGATCAAATAAATGAGACTGGAAAAAAACAAAGAGAGTAAATAGTGAAGTTACTGTTTTGGCGAACTGAGAGTAGGGACATGCAGAAGGTCTTACATATTTAAACAGGATACTGGTTATACAGGTTGTTATTTGCACTACTATGCAACTCTCTAGTATCAGGTGCTTGCAGAGTGTTACAAGATACTTTCTATAAAAATGAGCCCACGCATCCTCCTTATGTTGTTGTGCTCTGCCAATTCCCACTTTATGCCATCTGCATTAAACCGCGGTGTCGAGTTGTCTGAAGTGTCTTTGGACAGTGCATTGAAGAGGTTATGATCTCATGCTCTAGGATTTTTATGTTTAGTAAATAAGTAATAATAAAGTCAAAATATACTGTATACTCTACTTTCATGCAGCACTGCAAACCTGCAGCTCAGAAGTTTGTATATTTTATTTATATATGCAACTTAATTAAAACAACATATATACAAAAATCTGTATGTTTATATATGTTTTTTGGGTCACACTTTATTTTAAGGTCCAGTTCTCGCTATTAACAACCCACTAACTATGACGTTTGCCTTAATAACCTACTAATTTGCTGCTTATTAATAGTTAATAAGGTAGTTGTTAAGTTTAGTTTTTGGGTAGGATAAGGGATGTATAATATGGTCATGCAGAATATGTGCTTTATAAGTGCTAATAAACAGCCAATATGTCATGCTAATATGTCCCTATACTAAAGTGTTACCGTTTTTTGTAATAAATATACATGACATATATGTCCAAAAATGTATTATGCATACATAAACATGCATATTTGTATAGCTTAGATATACTCACCAGCCACTTTATTACAGTAGGTACACCTTGCCAGTACCAGACAGGACCTCCTTTGCCTACAAAACTGCCTTAATTTTTCGTGGCATAGACTCAACTGTGTGCTGGAAACATTCCTCAGAGATTTTGATCACGCAGTTGCTGCAGATTTGTCAGTTGCACATCCAAGTTGCGACTCTCCCGTTTCACCCTATCGCAAAGGTGCTCAACTGGATTGAGATCTGGTGACTGTGGAGGCCAATTTAGTATAGTGAACTCAATGTCATTTTCAAGAAACCAGTTTGAGATTATTTGAGCTTTGTGACATGGCATGTTATTCTGCTGTAAATAGTGATAAAATGATGGGTACACTCAGGGCCGCATTAAGACCTTACTGGGCCCCGGGGCTATGACTTACTGCAGGGCCCCCTATTACTATATATAGGCATATATATATATATATATATAGCTTTAAATAGGATTTTTATCCTATCAAAATTTTGATGCATTGAAATTTTATAATGTTTGTTACCAATTTCAATATTTAAAAAAATAAAATAAATAAAAATAAAAAATACTAGCCTAAGTAAAAAACAAGCTTATACTTAAGACAAGTAAATAGACACAAATGACAAATTACAAAAATAAATAGACCTACCTGAAACATTTAAAGCACTGAATAAGACATTATATTGTATAAAATAATTGTACAAATAAACTGAATAGTCTTCACTGTATAAATTCAATATACATTCATTCTTATTTATTTTACAAAAGTGATTCGGTCAAGGACAGTGAGTGATTTTCTTTCTAATGTTTGATTAACATTATTGACATAAATTTTAACAGCAGCAACAAGCTTAGACTTAAGACAAGTAAACAGCCACAAATTACAAAAAAAAATAGACCTACTTGAAACACTTAAAGCACTGAATAAGAAATTATATTGTATAAAATAATTGTACAAATAAACTGAATAGTCTTCACTGTATAAATTCAATATACATTCATTCTTATTTATTTTACAAAAGTGATTCGGTCAAGGACAGTGAGTGATTTTCTTTCTAATGTTTGATTAACATTATTGACATAACTTTTAACAGCAGCTAAATTAGGCTGCTTTAGAGGAATAGCTAACCCAAAAATCAAAGGTCTGTTGTTGTTCTAAACCTGTATGAGTTTCCTTCTGCTATTGAATGTAAAAGTATATGAAGAGAACAATACTGGTAACCCAACAGTTGCTAGGCCTCCATGACTCCCATAGTATGAAAAACAAAATACACTACTGGAGTCAATGGGGACCAGAAACTTTCTAGTTATGAACATTCTTCAAAATATCATCTTTTATGATGAGGAGAACAAAGAAATTCATACAGGTTTAGAACAACTTGAGGTTGAGTAAATTATGACAGTATTTTCATTTTTGGTTGAACTATCCCTTTAAAATCTCATCATATTAGGATCTCATATAGCCTACTACTACACATGCTTTATATTTAACTATTAACGTTC